GTGTGTGTTGGAGTACATCAGTGTGTGTTGGTGTGTGTTGGAGTACATCGGTGTTTGTTGTGTACCTGTGCATGTTTCCGTTAGTGGTGAAGGTCTGTCCACAGACGACACATTTGTACGGCCTCTCTCCGCTGTGGACCAACATGTGTCTGTCGAGCGACGAGGCCGAGCTCAGACATTTCCCACAGATGCTGCAGGAGTGGTCGCTCGCTCCAGCATCGGTGTTGTGCTGCGGAGAAGATAGAGGATTTATTTATTTTCTCACATAGACTCAGACAGAGCAACTGACTCAGATGTTTGTGTTCTCACATACAGAAGCTCCAGAACACGTCAGGAACATGTCAGGAACATGTCAGGAACATGTCAGGAGCTGTGAATGCGTGTTGCAGAGGCAGGTGTTTACCTGTCTGATGTGCATGGTGAGCTGGTGTTGTGATTGACAGTCCTTGTCACAGAGTGGACAGATAAAGGCGGAGCTGTCGTCTTTGGTGTCCTGAAAACAAACATTCACTTTCATGTAAAACACAGTTTGTCTCCGTCTGTGAGGAAATCACAGCAGATTCATTTGTATCAACAACAAACAGAAAAACAGAAATAAAAACAGTTTTTTTGTTGAGGTATCGAATCACACAGACTCACAATGTTTGTATACAAACATCAGTGAAACGCACTGTTGCATCAGGTGACGTGTTCCCTCATCAACACACACACATCCTTCTCCTTCTGTCTTAGTGAGGACGCTCACTGACACAAAACATTCCCCTTAACCTTAACTTAACCCTAACTTAACCTTAACCCTAATTTAACCTTACTGTAACCATAAAACCCTTAACCCTCAAACAAGCAATAAGAAAAAGTGAGGACCGGTCAAAATGTCCTCACAAATATATAAGTGTACACGCGCACACACACACACACACACACACACACACACACACACACAACCAGGGAAGCAGCACTTTTCCTTTTCCTGTTTCAGTTGCAGGAAATGATGACAAGGCAAGGAATGCCACAGTGCATGATGGGAGATGAGAGAGGAGGAAAACAAGGGGAGGAAGCAGGGAGATGAGGGGAGAGAGGAAAGGAGGGGAGGAGGAAAGGGAGAAAGAAAGGAGGAAGAAAAACTGAAAGTGAAAGAAAAGAAGGACCAGAGAAGATGAAGTGAGGAGGAGTGGACAGTCCCGCCCCCAGTGTTTGACTGACAGCTAATGTCTTTCTAAATAAAGATGTGTAAACACAGAATTAAAGGTTGTGTGTGTTTGTGTGTTTGTTTCGTGTACCTGGGTTCGTCTTGCGTTGCGGCCGGGCGGGGCCCTCATGGCTGATGTGAGCGACTTGCTGGGGGAGGGGCTTAAAGCAGAGAGGAAGACTTCATTAAAACTTTCACTGAAGACACGTAAAATAAATCTCAACTTATCTGAGATTCTGTACAGATTTTATTTCTGCCTGTAGCTTTGTAGTGAATGTGTTTAGTATTACACAACAACAACAAAAACAATAATAACAACAATAATAATAACAACAATGCGTAAATGTGACATGGAAATTTGATCAAATATGAAATCGAGCAGGTTTGTAAAAAAGATTATTAAGAAAAGTTTTAAAACATCTCATTATTAAAAAGTTGGTCGTCACCTTGGCGACGGGCCGGCCGATGAGTTGGCGGAGGTGACTCCGCTCTCTCCTTCTCCTTCTCCTCCTCCGTTGATGCTCTCTGCCGCCATCATCACTGTGGACATCATGGCGTTGATGGAGGACAGGTCGCCTCCTTCTGTTGCCATGGCTTCTCTTCCTCCTGCTCCTGTTCCTCCTCCTCGGTCTCCGTTCTGTAGCTTCTCTCCTCCGCTCTCTGTCGCCTCCTTCACCCCATTGATCGCTCCTGAAGGAGCTAGGATTTAATATATTGACACATTTGATGTATTTGAACTTTAAAATTAGTTTTTGTTTCTTGGGTTAAAACATTTTTTTGTACGAACCTTTGAGGTTATTGTGCGTTTTCTCCTCTGTGTGCTCCGCCTCCTCTTCATTTATCTCATTGTTGACTCCTCCCCCTTCTGGCAGCTCCTCTGTGGAGTTTTCCATCGCTGCTGAAATATGAGAGAACAACACAGATTGAACACGTGGACAGCCGAGAGGAGCGTTCCTGAATTAAACCTGTCACACAAACATTAGAGATCTGGTAAACGACCATTTATCAGCGTGTCTCTCAGCCGGAGACAAACAGGAACAACTACCGTGGATGTTTGTACCAGCTGAGGGACGTCAGACAGGTTTTTAATGAAGGCTGGTGGACACAGGTTCATTTCCCATTCTGGTAGATTTTTAATTCTACATAAGTGAATGTATTGACTTTAACAAAAGAAGGTCTGTTAATGACTGATGACGACGTTTAAAAGTTAAAAAGTGACAGGACGTTGTTTGTTCACAGAATAAATCCTCCATTAAAATGTTTGATTCACATCACGTCTGCATCTTAAATGTTCACACAACTTCCTCACCTGCTCCTCATCATCGATTTGTTCTGACAGATGAAGATGAGGAGCGAGGCAGCAGAGGACGGCAGCCGTGACCTTTGAGCTATAAGAGCAGATTTGGCTCAGCGCCGACTGGACCAGAGGGGACGACATGTCCCGTTTACAATCCTCACACTGCCTCCAGGACGGCCGAGAGACATAGAGACGCACACGGCAGAGAGAGAGAGAGAGAGACAAATGGAGGAGAAAGATGGAGGAGAAAGATGGAGGAGAAAGATGGAGGAGAAAGATGGAGGACAGAGCAGAAAAGAGGAATTTTCTCAGAGGAGAAGAAGAGAAGCTAATTGCTGTTTCCGTTTGGCAGCCCCCACAGGAAGACGCTCTCCAGAACGGACCATTTCCTCCTCCAGCTCAGAGCGAAGCTGTGTGTGTGTGTGTGTGTGTGTGTGTGTGTGTGTGTGTGTGTGTGTGTGTGTGTGTCTCTCTTGGGGGGGGTGTTGGAAATTCCTCGTTCAAAGGAAAACCAGAAGAGGAGGAGAGAGAAGCAGTGAACGGAGAGAAGAGACTTTAAAATGATGAAAAGTTCAGTGAGGTTTGGTGAAAACAAACCGACTAAAGGAATAAAGTTTAAAGAAGTGAAAATGTATAAAATGAAGAAACTGAAACAAACAAATTCACAATAATAAACAGAATAGTTCAGCTGCCATTCAGAGCCATTTATTTTAAACTTCATCATCTAACTGAAGTTATGAGCTACATTTGGCTAATTTACACTAACTTCAGTTTAATATTGACCCAAACTTTAAAGAAGGTTTTACTTTCTGAAAAATATTGTTGATTGACGGTTTTTTGAATTACACATCTTTTAAAATGAATTTGCAAGTCTTGATTATTTCTAAATGTTTTTGCATTTAAAATGTATAATTGTTTAAAATGAAATTCTTATTATTTTGTGTTTTTAATAAAACTTAATTATCTTTACATGAGATTGAAGTTTATATTTTAAAATGTAGTGGGAGTCAAATAAAGAGAGGAAACGAAGGTAAAAGGAAAGAGAACAGGAAGAAAGGATGAAGAGAAGATGAGTGGAGCTCTGCGAGTGACTGGTGACAACTGGCCGTGTGTGTGTGTGTGTGTGTGTGTGTTGTGTTTCCACTGACCTATCACTGCTCTTATATGACAAACTGTAACATGGTCGTGGCAGGTGCATCAACGCACATGCACACACTCGTGCACACAGACACACAACTTATCCCTGGATTGTTTTTATACTAGCATCGTTGGTCGTCCACACACACACACACACACACACACACACACACACACACACACACAGTGTTGTGATTGGCTGACAGAGCGCTCAGGCAGCACTTTTTACAGCCTGCAGAAACGAACGGCAACAGATGGCTGCAAGAGGAGAGAGGAGGAGGAGGAGAGAGGAAGGATGTAGAGAAGGAGAGATTAGGTTTGTTCAGAGGAAGAAAGGATGGAGGATAAGATGATCCTCTGCTGCCGTCACCTCGTTTCACATGACTTTATTTCACCTTGTGGATCAGTACAGTTATTTTTGATCTTGTTCACTTGATTGTTGGGTCCAGTTGAATCTTCAGTTTACTGCGACTGACTGAAACAAACAGCAGCAGCTGCCTCCACGAGTTTCACTGAGGAACAGACGCCATTCACTATAAAAACTTTCTTCTGATTGAAGGACCATTAGTTTCAGCTCCGTGTGTCATTGAAACACTGTCATGCCTCCAAAAACACTTTGACGTGGCCTGAAGTCTCCTGCACTCAAAGCCAGGTCAACCTACTGGTGGCGCTAGACACATTTCTATAGCTATGGAGAAATAGAAATAGAATAGATAGAATTAGAAGAAAGAAAATAAATGTCAGCCATAGCATAAGTGATATATAGGAAGCAGGGGATTGTGGGATTGAGTGTGTGTGTGTGTGTGAGATAGCTGATGTTACTACATCTGTTCCCAGCCATCATTCTCACACAGACTTTGACACTCCTACACACACACACACACACACACACACACACACACACACACACACACACACACACACACACACACACACACACACACACAGAGAGAGAGAGACACACACATTCTCACACATCCATGCAAAAGCATGAAAAGGTCACTGTGTGGGAGCCCAGGAGTTAATGCATGTGTGTCTGTATATATATGTGTGTGTGTGTGTGTGTGTGTGTGTGTTAATGTGTAAATGCTACGAGGTTCATTATCGAAGTGTTTGATCGTCACTGTCGTCCATCAACAGAAGAAGACTCATTATTTTTCAGAGATCTCAAACTCACCACAGTGAAACACGTGTTGGACGTTTTCTCCAGTTAACAGACAGGAAGTACTGTTGTCATGGTTACCTGCTGTTTACCTAAACTGACCAGTTAATGATATTAACTAACCAAAACCATCCATCAGCCATGTGCCCTGGTTCAGTGCCAGCCGTGATAAGATAGTATTTATAAGTAATTAATATACTTCAATAAACATCTATAGTCTCTGAAAGTATATTCTATATTATTACCACATATTATCATGTATTATTTGTAACTTCCCACCAACACAAACCTCCACTGAACACCTTTAACCACCGGCTCCCAAATAAAACCCAAACTGTCTGTGACTCCAGATCTCGTTCAGCCGCTCAAACACTTTGGTGGAGAAACGTTTCCTGTCACCTAAAAACCATAAATCCTCCGCGTCACCTGACAGAACAGCTGAGTCGTCCCGGCAGGCGCCACATTCTGTCACTTCAATAAAAACCACAAACTACTTCCACAGCAACCATTGAATCTCCTTAACTAATCTGCCGTTAGCTGGAGGACTAGCTTCCGTTAGCGGTTTGTGAATGAATGTCTCATATGAATTGTTTTACGTTAGCAAGCTAAAGTATTTCTGGAGGACGTAGCATTGTGTTAGCTTAGCATAAGCAGGCATCCTGGTAATCTGCTCATTAAAAACTCTCTTCATAAAATAAGAACAATAATAATGTGTGACATAAATTAAAAGTGTGACTACACATGTGAAACCCGTTAGCTAGTTGATGCTAGTCTAGTTAGCCCCTGGGTGACAATGGTGACATGATTGGACTTTAGAGTTGAATTGTTCGTTTGCTTAATAAATCACAAAGTGCTAATAAACCTGAATGAGCCATGGACACATGTAGCCTGAGTAACGTTAGCAGCTTGATACCAAGCTAACAGGCTAACATCCTTTACAGCCCCAGAGGCAAACTGACCAAAGTGACACCTGCTGTGGAAAGTAAATCATCCTGAAGGATCATGAACGGATCCAGTGACCACATGTTGTTTATGACTTCATCTCACTCACACAACCATTCCTCCACATTCTCTCTGTTTCTATACATTCAACACGTTATCGTTTGTATTCAACGAGTATTTCTACGACCAGCTGTGAGATCATCGTTTAAACACTGATGCATCTTGAGAACGGATTTAAATGTCGATATGAAAGATTCACACTATGTGTGAACGTTCACATGTCGGTCATCACTTCACAACGTGAACGTCAAATCTGACGTTCGTTAGCTGTTCTGCAGGAACAACACTGTTAGCATCTCCACGTGACGACTTTAATCCCACCAGTGAAAGTAAAGACAGTTAATCGTTTATTTCACACGCAGGTTAACTGACTCATGGAGGAGTAGCTGCTACTAGCATCTTGAGCTAATTGCTATCTTGGCTCCATTGGCAGAAGTGATTGCGTTAGCTGAAGCTAATTAGCTGCAGTCGGCTGCACTTTCCTCTCATTACTTGTCACTTGTGAAACATCAGCTGTGATAAAGTGCTTTTTAAAATTCCTGCAGTGACAGTATGAAACCGTTCAGGTGGTTTCAGGGTTTTAATCGAAATTCTCACCTCAAACCACAAATCAGATCAAACTGCTGGAATCATCGTTTGTCTGTGTTGCAGATCTGAGCAGCGTTCAACAGCACAAAGCTCAGCGCTGCTGTCTGATCATTTACAACATGTCACAACACTAAAGCCTCAGTGACACAGTAATAAACTCCGGTCGGCTCTAAAGACGTCAAACTCCCCTTGAACCACGTGATCGTTTCAACTGAGATGCAACTGATCGTCCAGCTGACGTTTTGTTTTCGTCTGCGTTTGATTCTTAGTTTGCAGAATTACACAAAAACTACTCGACTGATTCCTGTGAAATGTTTTGGATCTGAAGCAACGATCCATTCGATCTTGGTGCAGATCCAGGATCCCTTTCATTTTCTGTAACACTATTCTCATTGATTTCTCAGAGAATAGAATTAGAACACTTTCCTGATTTGTTTCAGATCCAAATGAGAATCTGGATCTAGTGAATTCAAACGTGAGTTCATTCTGAGTTATGTTCTAGTTCATCCCCACAAACTTTACTGTCACTATTAGCATCAAAAACTTCCTGTCAGAGATAAATGAACCGAGTTTTCCCTGAAAGACACAAAGAGATGAAGATAAAATCAGGTTAATAAAAGTGAATGAATGAAGTGATGCTGCAGAAACTGAAACTCTCTCTCTTTCATCTCTTTCTCTTTCTGAGTGAGTCTCCACCACAACAGGAAGCCAG